ATACACATGTCTTACTTCACATCCACAGTGATTCATCAAACCTTTGAGGCCAGTTGATGTTTCATGTTTCTCTTCTCTTTGTTTTTAGTGATTGAACCATAGACTGTATATAAAGAGGAATGAACCTGCAGCTCGTCAAACGAATGAGACGAAGGTCAAACATGTGAACTCATGATCAACATTAACAACCCAACTGATCTCATAATAAAACTGATCAACACATATCTGAATATTGTTCAATATAAACATTTATTGTTCTTTTTCAATTTCAGTGTCATTGTTATTTATAATTGAATCAATATCAGACAAACAGTCGTCTGTGATTGGTCCACACGAGGATCAGAGAAAACAACATGCTGACATGTTGCTGCGTCAGAGACGCCACAGGTCAGCTGATCAACGTCCTGACACAAAAACATGATTCAGAGATTTTAATTAAAAAGTTTCGAGCAAACATCTCAGCGTTTTTGGCACTTTGTTTTTTTTTCTCAAATTAAAATGTGAACAAAAGATACTGAAGATAAAAACATACATTCATAATACTGTTATACACACACACCATCTGCTGTTGTTTACATGATGACACAGAGAAGTAAACAGGAAGTCTGCAGTCCATCAGTCGTCTTTTGATTGATGGACGTCCAGACTGACGACCTGCAGCTCCGTCAGGTTACTGCTGCTGCTCTGCTGACTGATCACCATCTGAAACACAAACAAGTAAATACACAAGTTGATGTAGTGACTCCTCTTGTCCTGGTTCATGTCTGAAACCACATCAGTGTCGCACACAGACCGGTCTTGGTGTCTTCATGTACCTGTGTAAACACACTTTCAGACATGCACTGAAGTGCAGAGGATGTTGCACCTTGTGAAGTACCATGAGACGGATTGTGATTCGTGAATAAGGTGCTATACTAATAAAATGTGATTGATTCATGATAGAAGATGACACGAGAGATTTCGGTGATGAGAGCCGACGCTGGTGTCGTTGTGCTGGACGCTTTATAGGTCTCGAACAGTAACATGACACTTTCAGGCATCAAGTTCACGTGTTGACAAAATTTCAAGTTTACATGTCAATCATATGATTTATTAAGATTCTGGAGAACATGCTATAGTAAAAACACGTCTGTCAGTAACGGCTGTTCTCTTGGTATCAGCTCAGAATCAACGTGCACTCTTCCTCATGCACATGCATGCTCAATACTTGGATTCAGGTAACATGGACTCAATAGAACAAGATCTTAACCATCTTGAACCAGGGTTTGTTAATCCGAGTTGAATCAGAATGTTAAACAGCTTCATAGTTCAGGACCAGGTCTCGTGTCACTACTGTCAAAACTGAGGTCGTACCTGATGGAGCTGAACTGCCGACACCGGGATCTGAGCAGCGACCGGAGGGAGGGAGGCGAGGAAGACCTGCGGGACAGAGCCTGACCGACGCCACCAGAAAAACTTTGTAAGACCAAAATCACAGAACTTTATTACAACAAAGAAAAAAAAAATTCCACTGAGGTTTAGGGCCGACACAGAAACTTGCAGTAATATTTACACTCGGATAAATTATATATTCAAGGTCTTACCCGGGTCATGTGACTGGGCATGACCTGTGGGGGGGAAGGTGTTGAGGACGGTGAGGCTGCCGTCACTAAGAGACGGCGTCTGGGCAGTGTACATCACCGTGTGACCACCGGGGTACATCATGTGACCAGCTACTGAGGAAGAGGAGGAGGAGACAGGAAGACTGACTACACACAGAGAGAGAGAGAGAGAGA